CAGCAGCAGCAGCCGTGCAGCAAAAGCAACAAGCCCCGGCGCCACCGCAGCCCCAGGCCCAGCAAAGTGCGGCCCAGCCAGCGCAGCCGCAGGCGCAAGTGGTAAGAGCCTTGTGCGGAGGGGGCAGCAGGATTAGGAGTCCTGGCAAGTGCCAGGAACATCCCAGCAGGGCGGGTGGGTTTTCGGAGCCCCGGAGCCCGGGTAATGGGTGCTCTAGGGCCTGCTGGCCCCTGGTGCCTTGGTACTGAGTTGGAGATGCCAGCGCTAAGCCTGCTGCCTCGGAGACATGGGCAGTTGTTTGGAGTGCTCTTCCAATGGGATGCTGGACTCTGGAGTTGTGCTCTGGGTCCATAGAAAGAAACAAGTAGGTGATGAGTAGAAAGCAGATGAGAAGATAAAAGTAGCTGCTTAACACAGCTTCTCCCTATCCCTCCCCTGTCACGTTGCCTGAGAAGACGTGTGATCAGCTCTTACAAAAATTATTTGTACTTCATGCATCAGGATGGGCACCAGGCACAGAACTACTTTATGTTGCTGCTTGTTTGGAAAACTTCTGTCTCATATTCAGGGCTCTGATGCAGAGGAAGGTGCAAGCAGCCTTCCTCGTTGTTTCTGACGTTGGGATAGCCTTTTTTTGTTCCTTAGTGAGTGCTACAGAAAGGAGACTTTTCAAAGCATCGTATCTATAAATAAATAAATACATAAATCATCCACTTTACTAATCATCTGAACATGCATCCAAAATAAATGCTCTTTACTTAATGGAAAATATGGCTGTCTGCAGCAGGGAAATAGCCAGCTGTCCGCAGTGCTAAAGGCGGGGGAGCCGTGCCAGAGGGCAGGATCCCCGTTGCCAAAGGGTCTCTGCAGTACATGTGGGAGGAAGCTGTGCCTTTTGCCTTCATTCCTGCAATCCTGTCCGCTCTTGCTTGGTTTTGGGAGCGCAAGGGGATGTCCCTGACTCTGGTTGCGTGTTGGAAGGAAAGCGTGTGCCGGCAGCGGGCGAGAGGAAGCCGCCCGTTGCTTTGCTGCACCAGGTTGCACGTGTGCAAAGCAAACAGCGTCTGATAACAAACCGCTTCAGGTTCACGGTGTTTGAGTCCAAACTAAGGGTCAATTTGTGCTTGTTTGTTCATGAGTTGCCGGTTATCGAGGACCTAATTAATCTCTTGAGCATGCTTCCTTTGAAGTGACATGAGGAATTAATTTGACTAATAAACTCCATAAGCCAGTGACCTGAGCAATGCTGGGGCAGCGCTGTTTGCTTCACTCTGGTGTGTCTCAAGGCTCTGTCGTATTCGCCCCCTTTGCTTTTGCATTAATTTTCAGCACTAAGCTGGTTGTTAGGGTAGGGGACGAGCTTGGTGCTGTTGTGTTCCTGGTCTTGTCACTGTTTTGCTGAATGACCGGGGGCAGGTCAGTTTGTTGAAATCGGTGGGAGGTTTTTCAGTACAGGCAGACGGGTTTTGGATGACGCCCACTATTACCCTGTTCCTTTTAGAGGAGAAATGCCTGAGATGCAGTCTTGAGCGTGCATCTCTAAAGAGCTTTGCTGTGATTCACTAGCACCAAAACAGTCTTAATTTTATTAAGCTTGAAAATTAGCCTTATTCCCCTGGAAGGCTGATCGGCATGGACGCATCTGGACGCTTTTCCAGTCCTGCAGCAGCCAGGAGGAGAAAGGCAGTGGTTGGCTCATTTAAAAAATGATAGTGAGACATGGTCTCTACAGAGCAGAGTCTCTGAGCAGAAGATACCAAGCCAGGACCCATCAAAACCTTTTCATGTTATGAGACCAGCTTAATAAGCTCTGCCTTCACTGCTGTGGCGATTTCAGCACTGCCCTTTTATTTCTCAGCACCAAATGTACTGTTCTGCAGTGACCTATATAGCGCGATGGAAGGTGGGTGCATCAGAGGCAGTCAGGTCAGTTTGCTTCTCAGCTGCGGTGAGTTAGTCTGCCTGAAAATGCCAGAGGAAAAGCAAGACAGCTAACCGCTTGTTTGCCTTGCCCCGCTGTAGTTAAGCACCGCACTGGGGGTGTAGCTCTTTCTCTTGTTGCCTTCTCGGATCTTTCCAAGTCTTTCATCTGTCTGGCTTGGTTGAAAATGGCCTGGGGTGATATGGGATGGGGAACAGAGACCTAGTGCCCAGGCAGCAGAGGTGACATGCATACCTTTCTGCTCTTTGCATTCTAGTTTTCCTGCTTTAAATCCAGCCATATCTCGCTGACAGACAGATTTTGAAAAATCACTTAATTGGAAGTGATGCTGTTGTTTATCACTGCAAACCAGTATTTCAAGTATTTATGGGTTTGTGAGTTTAACTGAAGACTGAGGTAACAGAAGAATAAGGTTTGAGGAAACCCCTTAAAGTTTCCAAAGAGTTTGTAGCTGGGTTACCTTGGCTAACACCTGAACCAAATGTGCCTGTTTTTCTCCTCCAGATTTTAATGTCAAATATTGCTCCTGTGGTCCTTGCCCCCTTTGTGGTTTTGGGTGTGTTTTGGGGTGTTTTTTTTTTTGCTAAAAGAAAGCTAAGAACCCTGCTTGCACAAGATTTCTGCAGAAGACCTGTAGTCCTTTAGGGATTTGACCCCAATCACACAGATAAGTCTGCTGGAAGAAGCGCTGCGCTTCACCTTACCCCCACTCCGTGTGTCCCTAGGACAAGACTCCTGCACAATACTGTCTGATTTCTTTTTTTTACCTCTGCCCTGGATCTCAGCCTCTTTACCCACGAGCAAGTTTCTGAGACCAGCTAGCCTTTAATGACAAGCACTAATAGAGGCTTCGCCTCCAGAGCTGCACCATAAAAAGGGGAGAAAGCTTGTGCAATTGTAATAATCCTGGAGTGCTATAGATCAGCAAATCCCCCCTGCCCCCGATTCTTTTGTTTGTTTGTTTTTCCCCTCCAGACTGTCCCCAACTCATGACTTGAAGGTCAGCTCCTCCAGCATATAGCTGTTCCTTCGTCCTGGCTGCCGTTCACGAGCAAGGACGTAACCGTTCTACTTTTTCTCCTAGATGCAGGCACAAATGAGGCAACAGCAAAAACCTCAAACCACACCCCCCCCAGCAGTGCAAGGGCAGAAGCTGGGCTCTCTCACCCCTCCGTCCTCCCCCAAGACGCAACGCGCAGGACACAGGAGGATTCTGAGCGACGTGACCCACAGTGCAGTTTTTGGGGTTCCAGCCAGCAAGTCTACCCAGCTCCTGCAGGCAGCTGCTGCCGAAGCCAGTCTCAACAAGTCCAAGTAGGTGGCTGCTCACTTGGTGTCAGAGGGTATGGAGGGAGGGGATAGATGAGGAATCTCTTCAGAGATTTCCCAGGCAAAGCTCTGAGATGAAGATAGCCAGCAAACTCTGAGGTCTAGATGAGTCTTTGCCTTCTAAGACCACAGTTTAGGGCTCGGCAGAAAGTTGCTGAAAAACTTCCCCAAGGGCAGAAGTCCTCCTGAGTGCTTCTGTGTGCCCCAAAGACTAAGCGAACGGGGCCTTCCTCTGGCTTACAAAAGCTAGTGTCGTTTCAGCTGTTCCACCAGTAGCCCTGGTGTGTGCTTCACGCTTCTTGCTTAGCCTCAGCGCTTCCCCAGGAGTACCTGCTAGCTCACGTTTGTAGTGTCTGCAGGCAGGAAGCCTCCACGTGGGCACTGCAGAAAACTGTTCCAAATGGGATGCTTATGGTGCTTGGTTTAATCCCTGACACCAGGATGCTTAACCAGATTAGGAGTAGGTAAGGCTAACTGGTCCCAGCTTTCTGCGCATGCAAGTACAGTAGCTTGTGCTGAGTGTTTTAAGTAGGAAGTAGTTGTAATGCAGTAGCTTGGACCAGCTCATAGATTCCAGATGGGTTATTAACGACTGTTGTTTGGTTGGGATGATCACATCTAGATCTGCTTCCACCACACCCTCGGGTTCCCCAAGGACCTCACAGCAGAATGTCTATAACCCACCCGATGTCTCCACGTGGAATCCGTTTGATGATGATAACTTCTCCAAACTCACAGCCGAGGAGCTGCTGAACAAGGACTTTGCAAAGCTGGGTGACGGTAGGTTCATGGAGGCGGTTTAATGCCGGCCTGCTCTCACAACCGAGGATGGCGTGGAATGATGATGCTTTTGGTCGGGTGCTGCTGGGGTGCCCCCCTGTTGTCATGGTCCCCTGTGCCTGTAAGAGCTAAATACTTCCATTTTCCCTTCTCAGTCCCTGTCCTCTTTGCTGAGCAGTTGCAATTAAATGAGCATGATCCTCAAAGGGAGAGGTACTAACTGCTTTGAAAGTGGCCTCGATCATTTGGCTGCAGAAGCTACGGTTTAAACTGCTTCATCTGCGAGTTATGATTTGCAAGGAGGGACTTGAGTCGCACATTTGAAATAGCATCCTAAAAATCTGGGTAAGCAACCTACCTACAGAATGTAAGTTTTTTTCCCCTAAATCTGCGTCTGGCCTTTCAGGGAAAGCTCCAGAAAAGTTGGGCAGTTCCACAGAGAACTTGATTCCAGGTTTCCAGCCGGCTTCATCTGCAACCCAGGCAGATGCATTTGGTGGCTCTTCCTTCACTGCTGGATCAGGTGAGTTTGTCAACATGTCCTACAGGGCAATGCCCGGGGCAGCACCATGGCAGAGAAATGGCAACGCTTTGTCGTAACCTCTTTGAAAGGAAGGTAAAACTGATACAAGCTGAGCTGAGCCTTGGCACTTCAGCAAAGAAGGGAAGGTAGGAACGGCATGGAACGGTAGGAACTTGTCACAACTGGGTGGCAGAGACAGGACCCATTGCCTGTAGGCAGAGGTGAGGCTTTTGGTGAGGGAAGAAATTAGGTGAGCCCCTGAAGTTCACCAGACAGCTTCTTAACGTGTTGAAGTTCCATGCAGCACATACGTGGTGTGCAGTAAGGGAATTGGACTTGGAGGCATCAGTCGGACATGCTGGAGGATATTCCTTGCCTGCAGTTGTTAGGCTGTATGAAGGAGGAGAGGAGCAGGGATAATGATGTCTGTGCCGCAGAATGAGGAGAGTAGCAGAGACGGGAGTGAGCAGGGAAGATCCTCTGAGGAGAGCACAGTTAGTCTCACAATGGACGTGTTAAATGGTGAAGGTGAGAGGTTTCCACAGGCTGGGCTGTCTGGGTCTAGAGGCAGGGAGTCCTTGGCTTTTCTGCAGAGGCCTCTGCACATGTGACCTTGGCTGGTGTCTGCTTTGGTCCTTGGGTACCAAGGTTTTCCCCTGAGCAGCCCCTTCTGTGCCGAAAAAACTCGGTGAGCGCTGCTGCTCGTTTCTGGTTCCTCAGCATCAGTTCTCACTGAATGCAGCGAGCGCAGTATTGACAAACTGCTTCCAGGAGCCCTAAACGCAAGTAATCCCCTCCCCTGTCTTGTGCGGCCATTGTTACCGGTGACAAATGCAGCTGTTTGGTGCTTCCCGGTGGAAGCACAAACCCTTGGTGAGAGGAGTCCTGGGAAGAGATTGAAGAATCCTTTGTGGGGCGAGAAGTGACAAATCCATCGATGCTTATTTCTATTATAAAAAGAGATTTAGAGGAGCTTATAGCTGAGCTTGGTATTGTTGACTCCTACCTGAGCATAAAGGAGTTGAAGTCCATGATGCAGGAGTGCTCTAGGGAGTTGCTTTCTGAGTTTGTCCAGCTGTTCAGTGCCCTGTGAGCAGTTTTATGACGTTCCATCAGCCTTTGTGGGGTGATGCTGAGTAGCAGCAGCTCCACATTCAGCTGTAATGTACCTTCTGCAAAGCCTGAGAAGCACCTGCATGTTCTCGGCTTTCTGGATGCTGTAGCATGTTTAATTCTTGTAGTGCTTGTCTTTAAAATGTGCCCTTGACTCTCCTGTCCGGCAGTCTGGCATAGGAAGGTGTCTTGGAAACTCCGTTTGGGCTGGGCTGGGCTCTTCTAGCCCTTTTTCTTTCCTCATGGGTATAAGCCCGTCTGATGCAAGGTGTTGTATCTTTAATTTCAGACGAGGAGGCCCGACATGGGGGCTGGCCTGCTGTGTGTCCTTTGTTAAGGCATTTCACCTTTTGTTTCGCTTTGTGAGATAATAGTACTGCCCTTTCAAGGAATGTTTTGAGATCTGTGGGTTAAATTGTGTTGGAGAGCTGCATGGTAATAGTTGTTTGTTTGTTCTTTTCAACATTGCTTATTTCTAGCAACATAAAGTTGTTCTGAGTGTGTGTGTTTGTGTGGTGGTTTTGTCAGGCGGTCGCTGGGACTCTGTAATAATTGAGCTGTGCCCATGCTGAGGATTTGCTCGATGCTTTCTGCTTTTCTCTCCTCTCTGTTTCACTCTGCCTTTTCTCTTCCTGGTTCCCAGCTGAAAAAACGAAAGACATTCTGAGTTTGGACACTAGCCCTCCTCTTCTGACTGTGCCTGATCCTTTCATTCCTCTCCCGCTATCCGACACGCCAGGTAAACGGAACTGAGTTTATGGAGGGGGGCAGATTCTTGCTGGTTTTGTACTCTTAATCTTCCAGTTCTGTTTCTAGGCGCACCTGAAATCCTGGGGCTCAGTCAGTGGTGCTGGGTGCTGACAAGCTCTGCTGGCCTCTGCGGTAGCAGTGACATGTCGCGCTTTCTGCTGTTGAGTGTCTGTGGGGTGGCGGGAGCGGTGCTGAGCTCAAGAGCCCGTAGGTTTCATGGCAGACCCTAGGGTTGTCGTTGTTTCTAATGCCAACAATGTTGGTGTCTTTAAAGTATTAAAGTTCAGTATTCAAAGCCAAAAATAATCGCCCCATGATTACCTGTTCTCACCTAAGCCATTTTCAAATTGGTCTCTAACGTTGAAACTGTGGTTTTCATTATTGTTAATCTTCCTTTCCCAGAAGCATCAGTGTTTCTTTGGCTTCCGAGGTCTGTTGCAAGTGCGGGCTTCATGTGCAGCACAAGTTAAGATGTAACCTTTTCTGAATTGGCAAAATTTTCTAGTGCAGTTGGTAGCTATTTCCATTTACTTTGCAGTACTACTTAAAAGTCTTCCCTGCGTGCGCATTGCTGACTGCAGCAGCCAACACTTTTTAGCACAAGATTATGTAAGTGCTTAGGAGCTTATTTGCAAATCGGTGGGATTTGGAATATGGGAATGTTTTTTTTATCTTGGAGTTTCTCTAAGCCCTCTCTGGTGAATGTCTGTGGCAGGACCCTTCTTGTCAGCTAACCCCAGAGGACAAGTGCTTGTTACTGCTCTCACCCGTGTCCTTAGCTCAAGCTGCGGGTGACTGGTGGTTTGACAGGAGAGGACCTGAGCTTCAAAACGATGTGCTTGCAATGATGGCAGCTCTCCATGGAAAGTTAAGCAATTCAGGAAGGGAAAAAAACCCAACAAACCTGTTTTTTTCCCATAACTGTGTGGAACTTGCTTCCTTCTGGTTGATGCTCAAAGAGCACGAGAAACGTGTTTTGCTTCAAAGGGATTTTACTCATGAATGCTGCAGTTTGAGAAAACAAGCAGAACTTACAGGTTTTCTCCCCGATGCGAGCACTTGCCAGGAGCTGCTCTGCCCAGCTATGGTTTGAAAAGAACCGCCAGGAGGCAGACGACTGCGCCTTTTCCGTTTGGCCCCCCAAATGCTATCGTAAATGTTGGGTTTCCTGACTTGAAGTCTGGCAGCACAGATGACTATTTAACCCTCTGCCAGCGTGCTTAACTCGTACAGTTGCACACCAAGACGGTTGTTTTCCTTATTGCCTACTGAGTTCTGGTGCAGCACAACCGTGCGAAGGAGCAGTTGCAGCCTCAGCTGCAGGAGCTCTGCAATTATTTATAGTACAGAAACTGCTGCGGAGAAGTTGCCTTTCAACCCTGCCCTTGGGTGCAAATAATCCGAGCAGCAGTTGTCTGCAATTTTGTGGTGCTGGGTTAGGTGCTGGCCAGCTGTGTATCATTGCAGGCAGGTGCTGAACCTTCTTCTGCTCATCTCTCTGCTGCCTGCGTCCGGTCCTGTTGCCCTCAGAGGATCTCCCCTCCTGTGGGGGCAAGGGCATGCAGGAGATCTGGCTTTGGCTTCCTGCAGGTTCCTGCAAAGACATCTCTGATTTTTTTTTTTTTTTTTTAATTTTTTTTAACATAAAATTTGAGGCCAGGAGTTCATGAATGTTTTCAAGGACTGGAGCTACAGACTTATCCTTAGTGTTGAAAGCTGAGAAGGGTTGTCTGTGCTTGTAAATTCAGCAGAAAAGATAAAAATCCTACATTTGGACTCAGGTTTTCAATCTGTGTGTCTGTGATGCAGAACAGAGTCATCTTTGTTCTTCTGTGCCAGCGTTACCTGTGCAGATAATCCCCACAGCAAGCAGAGAGGGGTGTGCTGACTCGGGTGTGAAAGGCATTCTTTTAGGTGTGCCCCTTGGGTCAGTAGAGCTGGGATTGACTTGAGTCTCTTAGTATATCAGCATCTCCAGTTCCACAGAGCCAAGCTGCCTTAGCTTTGTGGTGAAGCAGCTGAATTTCTTTGCATGCTTGTGAAGTCTTTGCTTTCTGCTTGGAATATTTTTATTTCTGAGAAAACCTTGATAGTGAATCTCAGTGCTTTGAAAACATTTTATGCCTGTCTTTTTATAGACTGGGAGCATGCATAGCCCTTTCAGAAGTAAAAGCATGAGCCTTTACCCCTTGGTTACAAGAGCCATGTTGTTCAGGAAGGCTTTCAGCACAGGCATAAGCGAGGCTTTGATTTGGTATTTTCCCTGTTTGTCATACAGAGCCAGTTTTGTTGGCTCTCTGCGCTCTAAACCTGTGACAGCTGACGGTCTGGCTGAGAGCTCAGCTGCTTTTTTTTTGCTTAGACCACAAACTTACCCCCTTTGCTGGCACCTGAGGGCGCAGGTGGCATCGCTTGGATGTTGGCCAGAGACCTCCTTGGGCTCTCCCACCTTTCCTCTGTGTGCTCAGGAGGACAGATGAGCCTTTTTATTACAGATTCCCGAGAAACAGTAAGTGATGCTCAACGCATGACACATAGCCATAGGGTGCATCCCCAGACAGCATAAATAGGTTCAAGTGGAGGATCCCGCGGCCGTGGAGCTACAGCCAGCAGGTGTGGCTTTAAGTACGACTGCTCGCTTGGAGGTTTAGCCAGAGCGTGGTTTTGGTTCGTGTGGTCGGTTAAATGTGTACAGGAAAGACAAACCTTGGGCAGCAGGTTCCAGCAGACTACCCTGTTTGCTCGGAGATGTGTAATGTCCTAGAGGAGGTGGTTTTTCATTTGTTGTGGGTAACAAGCTTCTCAGTAAGTGCTTCTAGAGAAGAGGTAACGTAGCACCCTGTAGAAGGCAGAAATACCAGCTCTGGACAATAATCAAATGGAAGTAGAATGGTTTTCGGTATATTCCTCCTTCTCCAGTGCGTAATGGCTGCAATTCTTAGTGGAATTGTAACTGGTAAGAGGAGCTGGCAAGAGGGATGTAAAAATATGGCAAAACATCTGTTAAAATAAGGGAGAATTAAATATTCATGCTGAAAACATTTTTCCTTGTGCACATGTAGGAAAGTGAGCCAAGTTCTTCTTAATAAGCTTATTGCAGGCTTCACTGCAGATTAATCATAATGGAGTATTTGATCAGAATGGTAATTTTTCTGCTACGTGTGGCTACTTAATGTCTGCCAGTATGAATTCAGCTCGTACGAACATGGGAGGCTAAATTTTGCACAGGGTATTCCGGAGACCCGAAATTAAACTGAGTTAGGAAGCCTCAAGGCAGATCTTTCCCGTTGTCATTGAGTCCCAACCTAGAGTTTTGAGGCCCGTGGGGCACAGTAGGGTTTGTTTCTTTTGACTTCATTTCTGTTGGCATGAATAGACCTTGGACTCGCTGCTGAAAACCTGCTTTGCAGAAGTGTTGAAGGAGAGGTTTGACCCAGAGCATGTGAATACTTCTGCTTTAGCCCGTGTCCCTTATTAGCCGCTGAAATTGAAATGCTTAAGTGCTGTCTTGACGTAGTTACCCGCACTCTTCAGACGTCCGTTGGCGTCAGGAAAGGTTTTGGATAGATCCTTTTTACTCTAGAAGCAATCTGCTCAGAGGAACAAATTTTTCAGTGAGTGAAGGGTGGATCCAGTGAAACGTCCTCTGAGATACTGCCAAAAATATTCCTTTCCAGGTGTTTGAGGGTCAGTTGGTTTGGGGTGGGACGGGGGTGTCTCCTTGCTCTAGTTCCAGCTAAATGTTGTTCTCCCAGGTACCCTGTGCCATCAGAAGCGCTGGCTTATTCTCTCTTCTCCGCAGAAGCGGAGAGATGAGGTGGTGGGTGTGGGTCCCTGGCAGCAGGGCAAGCAAGGAGAGATTGTTGAGCAGCAGCACTGAGCTGTGAGAGCTGAAAACGAGAAGCTCTGCTCCTCCCTGTTACTGGATGGAGGACAAACTTCCCCGTGCCGCGGGGCGCCCCGCGCTGAATCATGGGCGGGCTGGGTCCGGCGTGTGCAGCGTGGTGGTACTGGTGGCCTCTGCAGCAGTACAGAGTACAATGTCATCTCTGCACAATGAGTCAATCTTTTTTTTACCCCTTTCCAGAAGAGAATGGATCATTCTTTGCCAATTTGCACGACCATTTACTCCCTGCAGTAATTCAGCATCTTGGCTGCAGCTGAGAGACAAAGGTGCCTTTAGTGTCGCTGGTTATTTGTTTGAAGAACAGCAACACCAAGCGGCCTCTGCGACGTTGTCTTGCCCGTAATGGAAAGTGAGATAAGAGAAATTCCACGTCTGGCACAGCCAAGTAAACATGCAGACAGAGCTGGGGAAGGAAACACAGGCCAAGAAAGCACGGCTGGGCCATCTGGGCACACACCGGACTCTCAGTTTTGATGAAAAGGCAAACAGCGTTGCTTATTAACAAGTCATTGTCGTGCTGGAGTTCTCTGAAGCTTTCAAATAGCACTTTAAGGATGATTTTTGCCTTTTTATTTCTTTCAAATACCAATGGACTTGTGTGTTTTTACGTTAGCCCAAGAGGATGCTTATCGGGGCTGAGGAAGCAGATATCTTGCAGTGCGATTTCAAAACAAAATGTGTCCACGCCCTTGGCCTGTTTCTAGAGCTAGCTATCAAAAATGGGTAGCCCCGATAACCATTCC